TATTTCTAAAGCAACTGCTCCCAGTAGAGTCTGTATGTAGTACTGGCACAGGCCACAGTGTGACAATGTTACATTGTGTTTAAAATTTTAATTGCCTTTACTATTCAAGGTGTCTTGCTTTGATCTGGGTTACTAGGGTTTAAAAATCCCTTGTTAGACATCTTCAGTGTCACTTCTGCTTTGTTTGCAAAATAAGCACCTGTGCTCATGTACACATTTCTGGTAGCTTTTTTTTTTTTTGTGGGCTCTTATCCCATCTCCTTTTTTTCCCTTTTAAAAAGGGTTCCAGCTTTAGAAGGGCAGCTAGAGTAAAGCAAAGGCTTCTGTTAACCACATATTTTCGTAGTTTGTGAGTAGCTTGTGTCTTAGTTTTGCAGTGTTTTCTGACCTAATTGAGGCTTGCACTCTCTTTCTTGGATGAAGCAAGAGGGATTCCCATATTCATCCAACCCTTAACTCTCTTCAAAGATTTACATAAAAATTTTTCAACTGCCTGTTTTTTTAATTAATAAGTTAATCAGAACCTCAAAAAGCCACCATTTACTTTTCACAAGCAACAGAGACAGCTTTTAACCAGCTGTTAAAAGCTGAAGTTCTTAAAAAAAAAAACAGTACCTTTTAAATATGTTGCTTTTACAAATAAAACTATTCAGAGGGCCTCAGTTCTGTCTGATGGTAACTTTTGAGGATTGGAATATGTCATTTCATATTGAAACACTTACATTTAACAGACCTGTTTCAGCCCATCTGTCTGTCAGGGGTGGTTTCTGACTCAAGTCTTCCCTTCTCTCAATTCAAAATGTCTGGAGCATCCCAATTTCAGAAACTTTACACTTAGAGAAAGCAGAATTAACGTATCTCTTGAAGACTTACATTTATTTAGTCTTACCGAATCTTAAGCAGTTAAATTTTCATTAATAGCTACAGTGACAAATTTGGATCAGTGTGGGCCACTGGCCAAAATTATTCCTGTTTCTTTATGTCTGTATTCTATAGCTGGGTGTGGGGCTTTACCCCTCTTCTACCTCCTTTCACCAAATGGGCTGTGTCTTCCTCTCCCAACAAATTTCCAGCAGCAGTATGTGCATGAGGGCTGACGTGGGGCAAGGTTCTTCTTGCGCAGGTGCAAGACCTTGAGTCATGTACTTTACCATAGTTGAATTGTTTGAGGAAAGGAGCAATCTGCTGAAGTTCCCAGGCTCCTGTTGCCACTGCAGCGTGTAATCCAGCCAACGACCTTTTTGGGTGTACATGTAAGAGCTTTATTTGAACTGAACCTGTGCCTCTCTACCCAAGGCAGCTTCACACCTCAGTATTTGAACTTTGGGAACACTGCTGTCTTGTTGACTTCAACCCGGGCACGCTTTCCCTTAGGTGGTGCCGACGCTGCGGACCATGTGGCAGTGCGGCCATCAGGTGATAGTCTCCTATGAAGAGGACGTGGAAGTGGAGCAGCACTGTGAGCTGTGGCCTGCCATCCCATACTGGTGGGGAAACAAAACTGCCACTCGCGCTCTTATTCAGTACTTGGAGCGCATGAAGCAGATGGGCCGTCCAGGTAGGCACAGGGAGTCGCTTGGAGGAAGTAAGAGGCACGTACAGCAGCACAAAACAAATAGGAAGGTGTGTGTTTGTAGCATTATGGGATATAACTGCTTTGCGCATGCTGTGTGCACGAGATGTGCCCGTGTTGCTGAGTGTTGCCCACCCATGGGTGAGGGCAACGTTCATCTTTGGTGGCGCAAATGCGTGCATCAGTGTGCGTACGTGCGTAGACTGTATAAATTGTGGCAGCTGCTTCACTTGCATGATCCTATGGAAAAGAAGCCCTCAGCACAGGCCAGCTCCCTGGTGCTGCCTGCCCCATCTCACAGGGAGGAGACTGCTGCCTCAATCCAGTGCTTGCTGCTTCAGGCAGCACTGATGAGGGAAATGCATTCCACTAGCCTTGCTGTGAAAAGAAGCCCCTACAAGAATGGTGCATAAAGGCTGCAGGTGCATCAGGAAACAGCAGCGCTCAAGCATGCTGGTGTAGTCTGAGCCGAAAGAGGTTCAGTTCATAACCCCTGTGATGTGCACGCTCGGGGTGCCAAAGGGGAGAACCGCTCCAGAAGCATACTCCCCAGCCAAAGGGAAACGCTCGTGTAGGTGCACCCTGTGTTCTCGTCCCTCATGGGGGAAGGCTAAGCATTTGGAAGCAATGCTTACAGAAACAAACATAATTTACAAAGGAGGACTAGTGAGTGGAGAACCTTTAGTCTGCAATGCACAATTTAGATAAATTGAACTAAACTGGAATGGTTCAATAGCTGAGCTGCGTTTCAGAAACTGTTTGCTATGGCATGCAGGTACAAGAAGGGGAGACAGTCTGACGTCTACTGAAACAGTTCTAGGGATATGAAACAATACAGAGAGATTTTAAAGTTAGTATTTTACTGATTCCCAGAGAAATGAGATCTGGAGTTCATATAACGTTGAGCAGTTTCTGTTCTCGAAGGAATGTTCCATGTCTCACCTTCTGATTTTTATTTCAGAAAAATTCTTTGTAGCGGGGATTAACCTTACTGAAAATTTAAGGTATATTCTCGTACACCCATTTGGATCATTGAAGAAAATGACACTCCAGAGTCTTCCCTGCTTGAAAATCTGGATAAAGCAGCAGTATCCAGGACGAAAAAAAGATTGTATTAACATAATTGCTGGAGACTTCATAGGAAACAATGATTTTGTCAAAGATGTGATAGAACTTAACACAAAAATCAATTCTCCATTACACTGTCAAAGTAAAGGGGCAGGAACAAATAGTGTTTCATTCTCAGCTGCTTAATCTGGGAAGAGCTGAAAAGGCTCTATCTGCATTTAATGCGTCTTGGTTTAAACATCCTGGATCCCATAAAGGTCCAGTTAACCTAAACTAGGGATGGTTTAAAGACTCAGTAAGAAAAGCACTCTCCAAATCATCAGGGTTTCAAGGCCTTTTCACAGGAGAAGAGAGCAGGCAGACCTTGCTGAAGTCTCTAGAGAACTATGGTGTAGGTATCATTTACTTGGAGGTGCTTAGATTCTGTAGCAGTTGGCAATGTTCAGAGTCTCAAGAACTTAATCCTATTTTGTTTTACTTCTGAACAAGAAGGAAAAATATGTCAGCTGCATGAATTATTTTGTGGTAAGAGTTTATCTTTCTTATAATTGTAAAGATATTCTGCACTACTTGCAACCCTGATTCTCAGTATTTTATATCAGTGTGAAACTGACTTGTCTGTTTTCACAGTTTGTGTTAAATATACAAAAGGAACAGTTTAAAAATATTTTTTATACATTAAAGATACTGACGTGATCTTTATAAATACACTGATACATCAATAACATTAGAGATCTAGAAGGGGCTGTACTGTTGTGTGCCGAGTATCAGTTGTGAGCCACTTCACCAACAGGGTAGTCACAAAATTCTTTATGATTTGTAAGAGGTATGTGTATTTGAACACTTACTCTTTTTATCATTCATTGCAATTCTGCAGTGATAAAGATATCAAAATTAGGCCCCCAGACAGCTTTGTCTGTGGTAATGAAATATGTTTTATTAGGTGTTGCCAAAATAAGCCATACACTGAAAATAAACATATATGAAAAAAATTCCTTATCGAAACTCAGACTGCTTTAAAAATACCCATTCTTGGCTTCTGTAGCATTCTTTTAGTAGCTCCATAGTTATTTTTCCTCTCAATAACTATTCTTTGCTTATGTAAAAACTAAGAGTTTTATGCTGTTTGCCATTGCATATTAATCCTATTTGTTTTAAATGAACTGTGCAATAACAGATGATCATGAAGATAGAAAAGGGGAAGCATTAGGACTAAAACAAAAATGGGCATTGTATAAAGTTCACTATGCAGCTTCATCAATATACCTCACTTTTTAAATGCACTTTACTTGCAAAAGCTGAGTTCAAATGCCTGGCACGATGTTCATGTTTGCAGAAGTTTGAAATCAACTGCTTCTTGACATCAGATCAAACTCAGCGTGAAAGGCTAAAATGCTACCTCCTCATGCAATCTCTAATAATTGCAGAATACATCGGAGTAAAAAACCCAAACATTCCATTTATAAAGATGACTTTCTAAATGCTTTTTATCCTGTTCTTACTTCTATTTGCTTTCTACTGAGCAGTCATTTAGTTTTGATTTGTTTCTTTTTTTAGAGTGCATCAAGTGTAATGTTATTCATACACAGACTGTTTTTGTGCCTGTCATCTTTTGTACCCCTTAGTGGCTTGTTACTCTTATCTAATAAAACTTGATCTCTTTGTGTAATATGGACTGAAATAGTTTTGCTTCTCCTTTCTGTGATACTGATTGTTTTATTGGTTCCCAGTAGGAATTCATAACTTAAGTAATGGATCAGGTTTTGTTTCTTTTTCTTTGTGAAATAATTTCACACAAAATCCATGGTTTGCTGTACCTTAAAATGTTTTCTCTTTAAGAACGGATGCAGTGATAGGTATTGTGGACAAATTACTTTATGCAAGAAAAGATACTCACAGCTAAAGATGTATGTAAAAGATTTTCACAGCTAACTTTATTTATTGCTTAAATATACCAATCTATGGGGTTTTTTGCTTCGCTAAGACATGGCAGTTATTTTACTTACATATGTATTCAAGCAGAATGCATGAACCTATCTGTATTACTTATGTATAGCCAAAACCATCTTGTTCTCTAACTTTCATTTTCCAAAGACTATCTGAGAGACCTTGACTATATTAAATATTATTTTATTCTCAAAAACGGGGTAAAAAGCTTTATTTATATGACATAAGAAACTTGGTACTTTTCTGAAGGTTAATTCAGATACCATCCAGTGATTTCCATGTGTTTGAGGTCCATAGCTTATAGCCCACAACTCTTTTAACACTAAAAATCTAGTGCCATCCTTGCACTCGCTGACAGAATGCAGCTCAAAGCTCTTTTATTGTTTCTGAACAGAAGTTTTCTGAAACAGCATCCATTTCTCGAGTGTGTCAAAAACATCAACTGGGAACGAAATACACTCTTCAACACGCAGGCCAATGGGTCATTAACTTCATTTCACATCCTCTTAATAAGTGTCCTTTCTAGAAGAGGATGCAGTTTCATGGCATAGAAATCTTACTGTTAGGGAAGAGGTTTTTGTATCTGCCAAAAGCGGAACTGCCGATTATCACCTTCACCCTGGCTGTGCCATCTTCAGGCATGACTTCGACTTCCTGAACTGTTGCTTCTTTGTAGAGCCAACTGTAGAAGTAAAAGCATATTAGCATCTTAAAAATAGGACACACTGCATAAAATGTGATCTTTGGTCTAGGTAAGCATGTTCCAATCTAGGTAATTTAACACTTTAAAACATTAAGTGTTTCACTTAACTTTTCATTTGGTACTTGCTGTTTGGAAGTAAGAGTATAGTGTTTTCATAAATCTTTCAGATTTGTGGTTTTATCAGAAATCTGGCACCAGGACCAGTGTGGTCTTTCAGGAAGTATGTTTTATTGTATTAACACACAGAACTCTGTAAAGGACATTTTTGGAAGCAAACTTCAGGGTATCTAATCGGGATATTTTTTCTCAATAGGTCAGAACACTTTGATAATTATCCCTGTAATTCTTAATGAAGATTAAAATCAGTATGATATTTGGAAATTTTAAGACATGTAAGACAGAGTTTCATATTTCTCCAAATCCTTCTTACAATTCAAAATTATTTACCTTAGCTGAGGTCCCTCTAAGTTGACATTAACTGTCAGAATCTTCTTCCCTGTTGCTGCCAAAATTTTCTTCTCTATTTCTTCTTTCAACTCTTCTAAACCATGTCCACATAGAGCAGAAATGGCTAAAGCATTTTCTTCAGTGGGTTTATACCTGAAAGGTAACAACTGCTAGCAAGCTTGCTCATGAAAATTAGGTTGTAAAAACATTCCATGCGTAGACAATTTAATTGTCTTACTTTATACTGGCACCTTCCTACAGAGGCTACTTTTTGTACAACTCAAGTGATTTCTTTTGCAATGAAAAGATAACTAATTCTTTTTAAGACCATAGTTACATATGTAAGAGATTGAAAAACACCAGTAAATGCATTCAGAAGTGTGGGAGCACTTTTCTAGACGAAGAATTAAAAAGCTTCCAGAACATTACAAATGTTTAAGTACACTTAGCATCTCCTGCTTACCTTTCTATCAAATCCACTTTGTTATGAACTTCTATCATTGAATCCAGTAAATGGCTGGGAACATTAAGATTCTTGAGAACTGACAGAACAGTTGCTTTCTGGAGAATGGTTTCTGGATGAGTAATATCCCTCACATGAACTATCAGATCCTAGCAAGCATCAATATACAAGACAAGTTACTTAATGAAATACACCAGTTTCCAGGTTGTAGAGATTTTATACTATTTTTGCATTGCTAATGCATATAAGATACTTTCCTATCCATTAGATAATACACTGGCAGGTTAACACTGTAAAATGAACTACTAGACCAGTATTAAACCAATACTATTTTTTTGCACCATGATGGAAGAAAATCGGTAGCAGCTTAGTCTTTCATTTCACAGTGAATATGAACCGCCTCCAACAACCCTGAAACAAACCCTGTCAATAAGCTAGTTACAGAATTCAGATTTCAAATAATAACTGATCCAGTTTTTCAAAGCCAAGGCTGTGTGACCACAAGGCTTCAAAAATACTAGAGGGGAAAAAGAGTGAACTCTAAAAAGGCTTTAGAAGAGTAATAGCTGAAAAAACTGCTTCAAAAATGGGAAACTCCCCTCCGCCCCATCTAACTTGTAATTCTATTTTTACATTCAAAATGCAGAAGATTCTCCTTATCCTTAGCTTCCGAGATACTATGACTGGTGCTTCACTTAGAAAGCTTTATACAAAAGTTATCTGTTTCAAGTACATACACTACCATATTTGCCATGATAAAACCCAAGCAACCGAATTCAGTATCGCATTCAGAACATTTCATTATTTTTGCTCGAGATACTGCTTCAAACTTCTGAAAATTAGCAAGAAGTAAATTTCTTGCCTTTCATTTAATACTTCAGAATGAGAGACAAACAGGATAGTTGCAGCCGGCTTTTGAAAGTCCTGTTATTGCACGGTGAAGTCTAATCCTCAGAAGCATTCTGGCATCTAGCTACCACCAAATTTCATTGCCTTTGATGATACAGGGTTTTTTCTTCAACGTCTGTGTATACGCAGCTTTACACTTTGCTATAACACAGGAAACTAACTTTAATCAGAAAATGATTGGAAAAGTATATTTATGTTTATTACATGCTGTCTGCGTCACATCACAATCACCCACTTTTAGTGTTATAGGAAACCTTAAGTTAAACCCAGATCATTCCACAGGCTTTATTTAATTTTTAACTCTCAAGAAAGCTAGTCTCAACTTATTCGGGTGCACTGTTTAGCTTTTCAAATATTTAATCAGCAAAATCTAGTTTATCTGGTTTACGTATCATGGAGAAGGACACATATGCTCCAGATAAATCCTTTCTGAAATCTCTTCACATCTATATGTTCTGCATAATTTCAAGTGTCAGAAAATTGGCTTATGGTAAGATATTTACCTCATTATCTTAGGAGACTACTATAGTCAGCCAGATACTTCACTAAGAACACCGTGCCAATTAACTTCCTCTTTTTTGAAGGGGTAAGGATTATCTAAAAGGAAATTAATTTGATTTCTCAATTTTTACAGTCAACTACTTACTGAGTAAGCCACTTCTTCTAATGTAGCTGAAAAGGACTCAACCAGATTATGTGGAAGATCAGTCAGAAACCCAATGGTGTCAACATAAATAACTGCCATACGTGAGGGCAGATAGCCAGCATGGGCTGTAATATCAAGAGTGGCAAACAGCTGGTCTCTGGGTTGAAGTCCTGCTTCACCAGTCAAGGCTTTGATCAAGGTAGTTTTTCCTAATAAAAGAAAAAAAGAACAGGATTTTAATGGCTTGTTTCCAGTAGAAATTTAATTTGCAAGGCTCAGGTGAGTTGTGCAATGTAACATACCCGTATCGATTTCACTAATTTAAATCAAGCCTATGATAAGTTATCTATATGATGTTAGGAAATCCAAAGACAGTCTTAACTTTTGTAACTTGGAATTGGATTTAAGGCCACGTCTGGAAGCTATGCTGCGAAATCACAGGATGATCAAAGACTGAACTGACCTGCAAAGCGACCTACCCACATCTCTCACCTCTAAGGCTACCTGAAGAGCACTGCCATGACAGCAACAGGAAGCATTACTTATGTACGCCACAGTGCTTCTGTTATCAAATAAAACAAGTCAATATTCACTTGTTAAATCCAACAATGAAAAGAAGCACTAATAATGTGTAGCTTATTAGGTTTATGCTTTTATTGGGCATTTCCTCATGAACATACTACTGGCGACATTTATTTAACTCAATTAATATTTCACAGAATTTAGCCATTAAACTAAAGTGCTCAGTACAAAAAGCTAAGTACAAAATTCTTACATATATATATATATAGTTGAATCTTCAGTTTTAAAAGTATGGAAGCATGACATTTAAGAAAAACATACAGTGTAATCCAAATCTTTGTGCATATATCTAGTAACAAAATTAGTGCAAGGTAAGTCTGTTTTTATAATGCTCTTGAATAAGAAAGTGAAGTGGTCTTAAAATAATGTAACAGAACACTATACATCAATCAGTGAAAAGCTTCGGCGCTTCTTAAGCACGTTTCTCAGATCAACTGCCAACTCTCCTGAATTTTCCTCCTATGCCTCAAGCCTTCCCAGTGATCTAAAACCCCATGTACTTTTCTCTACCCATTCTGATCAAGTAAGAAAGATTCATATAAAGGGACACTAACAGTACAGTCTTCAGCACTATATATAAAATCTTCTTGGCACAATAGGTGCCAGGCATTTCTCCAAAACATGTCTTCAAGACTGCAGAAAACAAAAAAAACCTCCCTAACTACAAGAAGCATCATTTGCTTTCCTAACTATATCCTAATTGACATATATTCATCACACAATTTAAAAACTAATTAAAATATGAAGCCTATTCACACTGAAATGAGATTCTGGCTCAAGTTTCTAATTAAAAATCAGGCAATGTAAGCTCTTTCAGGTTAAAATTTCCCAAGTTTTTGCTTACCACAATTAGTATAGCCCATTACTGAGATAATCGGAAACTCGCGTTTTCTGCGCTGAGTTCTAAGTAAAGACCTTTTTCTTCTTAGTTTCTCCAGTGCATTCCTAATTTTAAGTTCTTTTTCTTTCAAGATACGATTCTGTGTCTCCATGAATGTTTCACCTGAAAAATACAAATGAATAATTGGCAGAATAGTCTACAAGTGAAACAGTAAACCAAGTGATGATGTGCATTTGGAAATCAAGTGAGTTAGCACTAGGGCATATGAAGTTATAAATAGGCAACTAAAACTACGTATTCTTGCCTAAGATAGAGTCAGAGTGATACATAATAATTATTAAAACATATGCTAAGCACTCTAGAATAACCATATACACTTATGATAAACCTCTGTGGCAGTTAATACTCTGTCCATGGCCACTTACTGAGCCAGTGCCGACCAAAACTTTAAAGTTACTTTTCAAAAAATTCCTATATGTTCACTTAATTAGATGTAGAACACAGTTTTTCCTCCCAGCCTCCTCCAAATAAAATAAGATGCCACTGAATTTGTTTAAAGGCTATGGAGGAAAAAATCCTCTAATTCATGAGAATATTTAGACTTTACCTGAGCCCATGATGTATCTCGATCCACCTCTCTGCTGAGCTAGCTGAGACACCTCATTTTTCAGATTTGACCTGGCAGTGAAATAACAGTTAATTAGAAGCAATCTTCTTTAATCAAGCTAGCCTAAAATGCCTAACAAATGTGAAGCAGTGGTGATATTCTAATAGTACAAATAAAACCACTAAATGACAGAGCTCTAAATAAAATCTGCTTATGGTGAGAAGCCTAGCAAAAAAAATCCAGATTTTTCTGGCTCTTCAACTGTGTTTTGAAAAATCCTGCTTCTCTCTTGGCAAACTTCGGAGAGCCAAAGATGCCTCTGACACATCCACGCAACTCACGCCAACTTCCACGTACAAATATTTCAATGCCATGTAATGTAGAAATGCGAAAAATTCAGATATAAATTAATGCCTTTAATCTGCCTTGTTTATAGCTTTCCTTATTAAACCCATCAATATAACATACGAGATACACATATCCAATTCCTACGCGTTCTTGCAATCCATCTTCCACATGAGCAAGAACCGGGGCCTTTTTGTGAGAAACGTACTGTGTAAGATTGTCTATGGAACACTTTCTGGTTTTGCCTGTCAGCACTGCAGAAGCTTAAAACACTGACATTCGAGCAAGTATTTCTATGCTCTAATCGAGCGTTGAGCATACCACGCAAGCACTGACTGAAAGTGTCATTTTTCTTCACAGGACAGTATTACCAATTTCGTTACTGTAAAGAAACAGGCACTAAATCACGGAACTACCAGTATGTGGTTTGCACGGCTCGAGGTACCTGAGAAGCGGAATTTCGGCCAACGCTATCTGAAGTTTTGCTTCTTTGGTCCGGGCATTACAACGAAAAATGTGAAGTACAACTGTGTATCTGTCAAAGACTTTCACACCCCAGGCATCTTCTAGTTCTTTCTTTAGCCATGTAAAACAAAAGATCCTGGATGTTTTCCGTCCTCCAGAGTATCAGTGGATCAATTCCTACACAGCACTACAGTTGCTGTTAGTTGATGGGCGCTTGAATCAGAGGATCTCAGGATTGCATTTCAACAGATGGGTAACGGCTATAAGCAGGCAACGGCAAAATTTGGTTGACCACGAGGCAAGGTGAAAAAGAGAGTTTAGAAGGTAGAACTTTATGTCTAGGCCCATCAAATTCAGCGGGAATCCTTCCGTTGCCTTTAGTGGATTCTGACAACAGCTCTTACAGCGTATCTCAGAATCAGGAATCTGAGTGGTTAAGTCCTTGTAAAAAATAATTAGGAAATGCTGGTATGGGAAAGGATAGGGATAACATAGGAAAAGAAAAAGATTACTGAAATTAAAAAAAAAATAATTAGAAAGAGAGGAAGGCAGGAAAATTATTTCGTAACAAGCTTTTCACAAAATACTTAAAAAACCCCAACCAACCAACCGAAGATCAAACAAAAAAACCCATTCTTGCTCCAATTCAGCAAAAGACACTTAAAGTATGCAGTAGTTCCCCTCTGCCATCTCTAAAATCCGGAATGTTTGCGGTTTATACATGTTCTCAAACACTTTATTGAATCAACCCTGTTAAATTGCTCTTGAGATCTAGATTTGCAAAAAGATTTTTTTTTTTTTTTAAATTTGGTATTAAAAGTACTCATGCTATAAGTCAGGGAATAAAAACTAGGAAATTGAAATGAAACACTTTCAACTTCCATTTCATCAATAAATGGAAGTGCTTGAGACAATTATCTATTAGAGAGATGATTTACCAACTCTCTTCATTTTATAATCTGGGAAATAATTCAAAACTACTAGCAAAGCATTAATGTTTGCTTGTGGAGTTTGCATGCACTTTATACCCTGCATAACGCTGTACATGCGAAAAACTGAAAAGTATTTATTTCAGTTTATCTAAGCATTTCCAAGGGCATCTATAGTTCATGCACCAGTTGTTTTACTGCCAGTGTTAAAAAAAAAAAAGTGAAGCATGCTTCTCTCTCAACATAATCCATCCATTTAAAATACAGTTTCTTTTTAAGGATTAAAAATGAAAATTTAAATATTTGAAACATTAAAAGATAAGCTTGCTCTGAATTTACACCTCATATTTAAAATGCAACATAGCATCCACAGAACTATAGGAAAATAAATACACTATCCATATTAGTATAGAAGCTTGTGCACATAGCTAATCCAAACTGTTGGCATTCTTCATAACAAAAGCTGTGTTATCACCTCCAATTTATGAAAAAGAGTTCGAGTAACTTTTCCAACATTTTAAGTAGAGCCAGTGGCAAATGCAGGAGTGGGGTCTATACTAAATGGCTATTAGGCTGCTGGAAAATTTCATGCATGAGAGCCGGAAACACTTATATCAACTGGACAAATCAAATAGGAATTAAGCTTCCTTTCAACAAAACTCAGTCCGCGCGGCTTCACACATTACCACTTGCAAATTCAGAGTCATAATCGACCCAACTTCTCATAACATCAATAGTTTCTGAACAATACTGATGTAAAGAATATGATTTAATATCATATTTAATTACCTTTGTTAGTGAAGATACTCTTTCCATGTTCAAGAAGACAGCTGTCACATGGGGCAATTTTTTAATCTTTTCTAAAAGATGGATGACCATTACAAAATACAGTGTTTAATGTCAATTCTTTTTCTAAAACATACAGAATATAAACCCATTTTGCACTGAGCCGAATGCTCATAAAATATCAAATGATATCATATTGTTTGTTCACAGAATAATTGTATTTGCACTAATTTAGTCCTACACAAAACAGTTGCCAGTTTCACTTATGTCAATCACATAAACATAAGGATTAAGTTGTCTCACGCATTTTCAGTGAGCATGGATTATTTCTATTCTGTGTTGCCTTTGCAACCTTAAAAAAATATTCTTTCAAGGTTGTTTAGCCTGCATGACGGATAAACAAAATTCTCTGTCTCCTCAGCTTTCATACCTATCCTTAAGCAGTTCAGCTGCAGAAGTCTTCCATTTAGAATGATGCAGTTCTGAAACATCTCAGTCCTTACCTGTCAAAACCTGGAAGTTTCCTTTGCCAAAAATAAACTTCTTGTCAGGATTTTTTGTAGGAATAATTATTTTATCTAAAACTGTCCAGTTCTGAAGAGTATCTACAAGAGCAACAGCTTCAGCAACCTGTAATTCAGCTTTAGGAACACACACACAAAAATAATTATAATATACCAACATAACTTTGCTCAGATTTCCAATAACCACAGTACATGCATGAACAAGGAAAGACAAATACTCTAGTAGAATTTTGGTAGCTTAATCAGTAGTGCAAGGAACAAAATGTCTTACTTGTAATCAGAACAATTAAACTTGTAGTCTGATGAAATTTTACCACACAAAGTATCTTTCTGCCAGTACAATTTAGTTTCATGGCTGCTGATTTAGAAGAATTTTTAATCATACTGTCAGCAAAGAAATTACCAATCTTTTTGCCTCAACAAGTAAAATGCAAAACTAGTTGGAAAATAAATTGTTATTTCAGATGAGCACAAAACCACGTGATTAATGCCTTGGTGTTTTGTGACAATATTTAAAGCACTACTAACAAGGCATATCCTGCTGCTCACTTCACTGGTACTTATTTGCAAAGGACCTGCACTGACCTGTGACTTGCTAAAACCTGCAGATTCCAATCCTGCATTCTGGTTCAGGGGTCACTTTTTTTTTTTTTTTAAATATCTACAGGTCAAAGAACTGATTTTTGAGGACTTCGTGAAGTCACAAAGACTATACATGGGCATATCAGATCAGCAGATCCAGTTTTCCGTTGCCAAACAGGAATAAGATCCTCTTTTCATAACAGATTTGTCAGCTTTCCCCAGATAGCAAAACGTAATTGATATATTAAATAGGTTGCCTTGGTCCAAAAGGTAACACATTTTTAAAGATAACCATGATCCTCTTTCTCCTCCTATTGTTAGTGTTTCCTGTATAATGCACAGATTTCCTGTTGTACCTGTAGGTGTTTCTACATTCTACAAACGATCATTCCGAAACATTTGTTCAGACTTCAGGTTCTTTATCTGCAGGGCCTAAATAAACGGAAAGGGATCACTGCTATTCTTCTGTATGTCTGGACAGAAAGATGCCTTTGTATATTTTTATTTTCGCAGTTGTAAAATCGGAACGATTAAGTAAATTCTGAAAAGGTTACAAATTTATTCTGCGAAGTGACAATTTGCTATAATTAATAGCACTAATAAAACTAAATAATATTTAGGTTCATCACATAATAAACTTGAATACAAGGAGGAGTATCATATATAAATTGACATACATATATATAAAGCTAACTTATAAAATGCTTAATCCATTCTGTTACAACTGTTAACTAGAGAAGTGTTTGAAGAAACAAGATCAAGCCAAGTTCATCATACATCTTAACCGCGCATGACTGATGTGTATGTATTAGCTAGCTACTAGGATTTCTAAGAACCACAATGCTAATTAAGGTCCTTATAAAGGAATTATTGGCGACTGCATCCCTAAGTAACTACACAAAGGCACTCCTTTAAGTCTATGACAGGACTTAATTACACAAGACCTCATCTTCTATGGACGGGAGAGTATTCCTGTTCTTCAGCCAACTTCTGGCTAAGCCTAAGGCTGAAGGACTCCTGCCTCCCTGGCCAGGCAGCACGGACGAGGGCTGAAGGATATTAACATTCGGCTAATGAGGGGGAAATCCGGCTGCCTCCTTAAGCAAGCTGAACACTCTCTGCACTTAGACTTCGCTGTCTAAGACCCCGGGTCAGCGCGATTCACAAGTCAAAGCACCGACCTGCGAACTGCCACCGAGAGCGCCTTCTCCTTGAAAAGGCGTCAAAGAAAAAAACACCGACCCAGACTTTTATCTGCTCTGAACTTGTATTTCGCAGTTTTACCACGGTAATAACGAGCCTACTTCACACTACCGGCACCAATTCCCTGAACGCGTTCCTGCAGATCACAGAGCTCTAGAACGCGAGGAAAGGAGAGACGGG